CAGATCGCTTAGTGTGGTTTGGGAGGATGCCAGTTGACGAGATGACTCAGTCCAGCTCTCAGAATGGAGAGTCAGGTAAGCAAGTCTCCTTTATAATGTGGTTTTTAAGGTACTCCCACATAGTTGGGGTCCAAGCCGCCCTCTTTTTTGTAAATCCTGATATTTATGTATAGGCCAGAAGATGTGGTGCCACATCTAGGTGCGGGTTCGCACCGTGTCATTTATTTGCGTACGAGCCCATCTCCGGTCTTCTAGATTCTGTCTTGGCAGCGGGCCCAAGCGGGGAGACGACGAGGGCACGGTAGATGTAGGGCAACTGTACTCAAACTATAATTCACGCGCAAGTCAACGGTCCTACGTCCAACCTGCTGTGGTGTACACACTGGACATTGTCAGGATCGGCGGTCTAACTGTCTCTCAGGTTGGGCTGTAAAGCTGAATAATACAGAAGAAACGCCAAATTTATTATTAAGAAACGGCGTGCTGGTATTCCAGAGGCGTTTTGGCAGATTTTAAATAATTCACTTTGACCCAATTGTGAAATATTCGATGTGTCGATGTGATTCGAGCCCACAACAGCAAGGAGAGGCTTTAGTACAGCCAAAGCTCTATTCGTCTGTGCTACGAGGCCCCACCGGACGACGCGAGTTTAATCAAACTTGGGTCAGGTTTACCCACCCAACCTACTGCAACGTCTGGAACTCGAATGTGATTAAACTCGCGCCGTCCGGTGGGGCCTCGTAGCTCAGATGGTTATGGGGTTGGTTGTACTAAAGCCTTCTCTTGCTGTCGTTGGTTCGAATCTCAACAAGGCATTGAGTTTTTCACAGTTGGGTCAAAGTCAGTCCTGATATTCGCCTTAGTATATTTATGGACCTACGACAAAGTAAAACCGAACTGTCCTTTTTGTGCACGGCATATTTTTATTTTGATTTTTTGATGCTTATTTTGACTAAATCTCCCTCACAGAAAAGATGCACTAGCCATTCGTTCAGTCAACTAAGTTATGTCGTCTTATTGCGTTCTGTCTGAAGAAGAGGCTATTTTCATTGAAGCAAAAATAGTCTCGCATGTCCTTGCGCTCATTGGATATTTCAGTAGATATGGGCCCCTTGTAACTTTGGGAGCCGTATTTATGCATCTAAGCATAAATGACCTATTGATATTTATACGTACTTCTAATAGAACCAGAAAAATCAAATTACGTGACGAAACCAATACTACCGAAAATGTCAAATTTAAAGGAAATTTATTTCTTGTTAATTGTATATAGGACGATCACGAGGTTAATTGAACCTATATAGTGGGGCTAACTTTGTGTCGACATTGACAGACGAAAGAATCTGCAGTAAAAACTTATCTATATCTGCAAATTTGAATCCAGTCAGATGGTAGGAAAAATCGTCAGATTTAAAAGTGGAATCGTAGTCTTGATTGAACTAACATAAAAGTATGCTTCCGATAATTTAATGCTGCAAACCTACTTAGGCATAAATAGATCTATAAGTGACCCAACAAAGAATATATCATAGGAAACAACTTAACTGAACAGCGTTTTGGACTTCGTTTTTATAGTCACCCAGACGATTTAGGAACGATTCTTTTTCCCAGCGTCTAGCAAACTGTGTGACGCGAGATATTCTAAGTGTCATATCCTCGCTTGCCTATTTCCCGAAGATGGTGAATGAACCCTGTACTATTTAACAGTCGTATTGGTTAACCTAAGATCTAGTTCTCAGGTTGAGCCCTACTAGCTGCATTACGCAATACCTAATGGTTCATATTCCAGACGGTACCCCTCACCTCGGTACTGTTTTCTCCTACGCCGAGGAGGTTGCCATTTACGTCTCTAAAGCTATAGGATTAGGAAATTTCATTGAGATCGAACAGAAGCGTGAGATCGTATTCCCTCGCGAACGGTTGTTTTCGATAAAATGTTATCGGAACCATAGTCAGGCTCTCAGAAGTCGTAAAAAGAGTCACGTTCGTTACCTGCATGAATGCGTAGTTAAGGTGATGTTTCTTGCCGTCACGATTTAAGTGCTGGTTAACCCGGAAAAAAGACGTCGGATAAAGCTGTTTGGAAAGGAATAAACGGTTTCGAACCCCTTATTATTTTTTTTAAATTTTCGTAAAGGTTTCCTATAATGAATTTTATAATTTTCCAGTCTGCAAGTGCATCACCGATTCTATTCCCTAAGCCCGACCGCCTGCAACGGTTACAATGGCCAGTCAGTACATGTTAACCAGCAGTCTCATGTTTATAATGCACAGTCACTTTTCCGCGTTGCACTAACATCCAGCGTTAAGTAACAGACTCCACCAGCTTGACGCTGAAAGGCCTTTCATTAGGGCTTCCAAATGGGAGTCTCAGCGAATTTATCAATGAAGTTTTACTCTGATAGGTCAAGGTAATTGTGACGCCCTGATGATCGGAAGTCTCAGGGGTGCTACTACCGTAGTAAAGGAAGGTATTCTTCATGCCTGGGGTCTTGACACCGTTTGACTGAGAACCATAGATCTAGGACTTTTCATATCCTCATTTTACTGATTTATTGTTTAGATTGTCATGATTTTAGCTGCCGGGGAAATAGGAGTTCTCAATATTCCTTACGCGTATGCGCGGTACCTTCAGTTTACTGAAGATGCTAACTCGCATATTTACTATCTAGGAAATTGCTATGCGTTAGGTCGCGTTGGGCGTCTGTGAGCGCCGTAGAATGTATAGTGGGCCTCAAGGAATGTAGGCGTCTGCTGTGCCATGATTAGTAAACCAGCCTGGTGTGTGCTGTCAGTTCTCAGGCCCCTGATTTCCTGTCGGGGGATGCGCTTGAGCTCCCGCCGGGTATAAAGGTCACGAGCATGGGTGCGCAGTCATCCTTGTCCTTCTGACTCGCTGTGGTGCTGTTGTTGTTCGTTAAAACCCTGGTCAAGTGTTTGTAGTGGACCTGAGTGTGTGGTGGTACGCCTAGGTGTGGGACCGGTCATGCCAGCTACCTGTGTCCTCCACCAATGGACGCAGTTGGGGAGGAGAGAACGTGGTAGATGCTGCGCAAGTCTAGTCTTACTATAAGTTAGTTCACGCGCAAGTCACCGTGTCTGTCCCACCTTTCTGTGGAGCACACGGTGGACATCGGCGGACAAGGTGGCCCGGCGGCCGAATTGTCATGTGCAGTCCCAGAGACAGTTTCTAAAACACCATTTGTCGGGCACACAGGTGCTTTCGATAACTTCGCGTTGGGCCTGCATATTAACATGGGAACGAGGCGTAAAGTGAAACGTGTGTGCGATAAGAGAAATCGATTACGATGAGTCTTTTCATACAAGTGGGGCCTTTGAATAGGGGTAGGGAGGAGGCGGTAAGTGGCTGTGAGTATTAGCCAGAGCCCTGCCACAGGAGGGGAGGGAGGAACAGGGGCGCGGAGCATGCGGGAGGTTCTTCTGCGTGCACATGACCGGCCTTCCGTAGCCTGATGACAGTCGATTCCGCTGATGCTAGTAGACACTGACCCAGTTGCTGCTTAGGGTATTTTGGTGGGTCCTCGTAAATCACACGGAAGGCTTCGTTGAGGTCCACACGATGCTCAGAATTAGCCATGTGTGTGTGCTTTTCCTCAGCCATGTCGGCAGGTGCTCGTATTCTTGTCGATTCGTATGACCAGTATAGCCCGCTCCACAGGTGCGAGTAAAAGAGTAAGTGCACTTGGATGCGGTAGAGTTGGTAACCCACCCTTACCTTCGACGTGTAAAACGATGTTGACTGCGAACACTACCTGAACTCTTACTGCAAGGAAGCTCCGTAAAACGGCTTAGTCAGGGCGCATTCCCAGGAGTTCACTTGCCACGTTCCCTTGAAAGGCGACTTTGAGGAACAGAGATTTTTCCACTGACAGTGCAATGCGTTTTGCCGGTGGTTCGGCAGGATTTACTAATGACCCTCCAATGTCCGTCACAAATGAACGGAAGTACTCTATTAATTTTTAGATCTTCAAATGTAAAGTGCTCAAGTAATTCCTAATGCCAGGCAGAAAGATCTGCAAGACAAAAACAGCTTCAGCGTTGGAGATGGTAGTCGCGAATTTAGGATATTTTCTGACTAAGGGGGAGAAAATAATGCGCTTAAAAGTGACATTCTGGGCAGTTTGAACGATGTGACCCTGGGAATCACGTGCAGTGGTGGGAGCGTTGCTCAAATAATAACTGACCGTATGACCTTAATCAGTCTCCTACTCGTGTTATAATGATGAGCCTAACTTTTCCCTGCTTTCGAAAATACCTGACCATGGACGTCAAAATAAGACATTAGAAATAAGAGTATCTAAACTCTCATCCAGTATGATAAATAACTGACAAGGGTATGCGGACAAAAAGTTGGTAGGAAATGCGCACCGAATGCAAGCGGATGATTGTTTCCAACGGATTTTGAAACCTTAATTTTGCCTATCAACAAGCTACTGGAAGTGCTTGAATGCATTAAGGTTTTCTTTTTAATAAGCTCTATCTGTATTGACAAACTAACCAGTACACTTTAGGCCAAACATGGAAATCAGTTGTGAATTCTTAACAGTTATACATACTATTTAAATCCCTTATACAATATAACGTGGATCCACAGTTTTACACATAAATGGTTCAGACGATTTTAAGCTTGCTGCTCTTCTTTATCCATAAAAATGGGTGAAGGTTTTGGATCACTGTCAAAAAAGTAAATAATTAGGCGCCTTTTTAATGGTATTTACGCAACACTTATTTCCAAAATCAGTTGGGTTCGTCATTTGGGATGGCTCTATTGCCCAATCCTCTTGTGCAAATGTTTGACTGCTGATTGGGTGTCGAGTTGACAGATGATTGGCTGACTAAAGACACGTTCCTACGAAGACTTATATTTTAAGACCGTTTTCTGACATTTAGTCATAATGAACGCTCATCCGAATACCTCTAGACAGCATTCTCAAAACTGTGGAGAAGACAACCTAACGTTTTTAAACACAGCACAGGAAATGCCAGCGAAATTACAGCCTCAGCGCACCTTCGAAGAGAATGATTCATATTACACAGAAAGTTCCCACTCTACCAGCAGCAAGCGTTGCTTTATACAACGACGCTCTATCTCCCTGGCAGCTGGCGAACAACTGTTAAAGGGGAGTGTTCAGCCACAAATTGATTCAAGGCGGTTTCGAAGACAGGTCTCGGTCGATGAGGCTTCGCCGTGTGTGGCTAACAGCAGAGCACAAGGCGGCACAACGGCTTCCAGTGCAATAATGGCAAAGTTGCGGAATTTTCGTCGTCAGTTGTATATACACATGCTTGAGAGTGCCGCTCTCTCAAATGACCTATCCCGTGCCTTGCCGCGCGATACAGTCTGTGATCTCTACTTTGGGGAGGGAGGAAGTGCCTCTCCACGAACCACCTCGTCCGTCCACCTGCCTCATCTGTCGTGCCTGCGAAAAACCAGCAAAGCGACCATCGATTCGACGGAGTCGTTGCGCAACCAGACTCCCACCACATTGTGTGAGGACTCTCCGCGTTGCCGGGGTCAGATCCGCTCATCACGTGGTCGTCAGTCCACTAGTGATGCACATGCTCACAGTGATCAGTTTTTGTCAACATCGTCAAGGGGTGCTCCACATGTAGCTGAAAAAGTGTCCAAGCCAGTTTCCGTCTCAGCAGTTCGTGATAACAAGTGCATGTCCTGTGTCGAAAGGACTTCCGGGTCGGTGACTTTATCGCGAAACAAGTCCGCTTCCGTAGGTGCTAACGTGCACAAGTCAAGTAAAGTTCATCATACGCCCCCGGACGACAGATGGATATTCGTTCAGAAGGGGAAGACTGAAGAGCAATGGGAAGATGTGCCACCAGCGCCCCAATATGCACAGGTACCATACCACCGTTATGTCCAGGAGAAAAAACCTACTTCCGGCTTTAGAGAGGTTGAGTACGACGAAAAAGGACAGACATGGGAGATCTATGGTGCAGATCAGGATCCCAAAGCTCTAGGAAAGGCTATCGAGGATCATTTGGAGAAGTTAATGCAAAGAATGCACAGCAAGGAGCAAAACTTCAGTCTGTCTGACATCACCATTCAAGGCGAGGCTTTCGCAAGCGTCTCTGGAACAGAGAGTTCTGCTCAGTTTTCGTGCGAAGAGCGTCAGTCAACACGGCAATGCAATCAGAGGAGGGCAGTTTTTCAGAAAAGACCTGTGCCACATCATTATAAAGCAAACTTTGCCCAGTCAGTGGATATATTAGTCAGTGAGGACGAACAGATTGACAATCCCAAACATAAAGGCAAAGTGCTTACCCGCATTAATCGACTTTTGCATCGTTCATTTGCGTCTGTGCCAAAATATCATGTTGCCTCGGATCCGCAGTCTTGTTCGACTATCGACAGTATTCGCCCTGCCGGTGAAGTCTTAAGTGCTCCTAAAAAGTGTACTTTATCATCTCTCCCACTGCCTACGGCCGGTAATACTGACCAAATTCTCGTTTCTGCTAATTCCTAAAACAATATAGGGAAACGTCTCCACTGGTTGAGATGACCTGTAATATTTATGATCAACACAAAACGTTCACTACAAAAACGTTTTTATTTCCTTTTCGGGTTTTGTTCAACATGTATTTTTGTTGCAATTGACTGGTTAAAGTAAATTCCAGACATTTCTGGCAAATCACTCCCATTTGTGTGTACCGTCCATTTGTATATGTGGTTTTTATTTTACTGTAATCCAAAGAGATATTGTGTTTATATGTTTGATTCAACAATATAAAAAGTGTTGATATCTAAATAGGTTTATAACAAAGCGTGTTATATGCCATGAAGACAGATTGACTGCCAAAGAAAACGCAGAAATGAAATCATTTGATGCAGAATACTGCCCTTTCATTGACGAGCTCCAGGTAGCAAAATAAGAAAGGGGGAGGTTTGTAAAAAATGAACAGTCCGCCTTAGTTAAGCAACTTTGACCTGCTCCATTATAAAAAATATACGAATGTCTCCAACGGAGCAGACATGAAACAATTATGTGAGTGATTTTCTTTGCAAGAAAGGTGCACCGCAATATCTGATGGTGTCTTCGGGACACCGCATTTTCTTGCTCGTGTAGCTGTTTTATTCCACTTGTTGCTGGGTTTTGATTTTCTCAAGATCGACTTTAAATTAGGGGGTTAAATCTTTACTTAGAGTCATGAGCTGCAAACATCTTAAATGTCTTAGAAAATGGATATAAACCTATATGCACGTCCTTTTTGGTCAAGTTAGCTGAAGCAATCAGCCGTATCCCCACGAGTATCAAGGCTCCAGAAGCCAAAAAGAGTTTCTTAAATATTCTTTTATTTTCGTGTTAATCTCCTGCCAATTTGAGTTCCATCTTTACGTAAAAGGAGAGGATATTTTCAAAAAGTGAATTGCATTGTGTTCAATCCGAATATAATTTGCCGTTTAGTGGGACAATATTTACAAAGAAATCATTTGAATGTATAAGGTATACATCTGCATCCTCTTTAGTCCTTAACTAGATTAAACCAGAATGGTCTTTCGATGGTTACCCACCTAAAATATTTTTCAATTGTTTTTGGGCACACACATAAGAGAAACAGCGAATAGTTAGGCCGACGTCTATTATATTACCTTGTTAGCGTAATGACATCTGATGCACGGATAAGACCCTTGCTTCTCTGACAGGAGGACAGGGATTTAGGCTGGTTGGCACTTATCTCACTCTTGTCCATGTAACATTCGGACAAATGATTATCCAGGGTTGTCTGAGTAGGAAAAATGAGTACAATTTTCATTAAATTTCAAAGTACATTTCCGAGGAAGTCTTAAAGGGCCTAACATGTCTAGGTCCTGAAAAATACTGTTTTTCCACTGCTGCAGTCTAAAGTGTTCTCAGGCTCAACGAGCGACTGAAGCCACGGGCACAGAAAGGCTAATTAAAATCTTTTAAAGACAGAAAGAGTAACTGTTCTAGGACATCTTGAGCGCAATGCAAGACGATTAAACAAATAAGGAAGACAAAATGCCTTTTTGAGACATTTTGAGCTGGCAACATAAAGATAAATCGAGCCGGTTGAGTTGATGTGTCTGAAGAAAGAACATGAGCCTACTTTTGGCTGTCAGTGTCAAACTTCAACATTTTCCAAAAGCATAGATGGAAATAGCATACATTTGCCTTAAAAGATAAGGTCTCGTCCAGGTCTGATTGCTGCATAGACGAATGAAGTACAGTGAGTCAGAAAACGTGCTAAGCCGTCGTATGCTGATTTTCCCTAAGGAATAATTGCAAACAATTGGCACGATGGTTTTCGACCTGTTTACAACGGAACGAGTGAGTTCCGTATGAACGATCGGTGAGCGCCCCTAACACAATATATATATATATATATCAATTTTACTTAAACCTTTTATGGAAATACTAGCACATGGCAAACAGATTTTCGACGGCAGTGGCTAACTGAAATGCCTACTTGAAACCCGATATTAATTTTCCAGTGCGAAGATACTTTTCGAAAGTGCTTATTGTATGAACTGCTTAAAACTCCGGTTTCAAATTTGCATTTCTTTGTAAATTATATAACACGCATTCAGAAACATTGCGGAGGAAATTACTACTTGGCAAACTGAACCGTTTGGGTTTTTTTGAAGGAAACCATCCAATAATTTTCCCTTGCATAATGTATGAGCACAAGAGTGCCGACTATTTTCGAAATTTAAGATTGACACACGTCCACGTTTACCATAAAGTAAGCACAGCAAATCCGATTTGTAATTTAACCCCAAAACAAAACTGTCCAGAAGAGTATGTATAGCATGCACGTATGTAGGCATTATTGCTTTAAAAGTTTTAAATATTAAAAATGTGTTTGATAATTAGGATAAGTTGAAATTAGGGTTCTCTGTTTGCGTCCATACTGCCTCAAACCGTAATAATCAACTTACCTTTTATTAAGCCGCTGAAAAGTTCATTTTCTTGGGGGGAAAGTTTACGACGAACAACTGCAGCATTTAATTAGCTAATTATGAGGCCACTGACTGGAGTAGGCGAAAACTGCTTCAAGGAGTGTAAACTGTTGTATGCAATAAAGCCCACAAATTTTAACAAAATTATTTTATAGTCTCTGTTGCTGAAAACGATACGTAAGCTCTTCTACAGCACAGACACTTTTTAGATGGGAGGGTGCGCACCATAATGCAATACATCGACTTTCCTACCGGCTTTATTAGTGCTAAACGGTTAACAACCGGCACATGTTCAACACGCAAGGCAGCTATTTGCTTTAAATGGATACCTCAGTTCGTTGGGTTCTATAAAAAAATTAACAAAAGAACATTTACCCTTTTCGTTTTTATAGCTTTTCTGCTTTTAAAAACAATCAAACCTTTTTGTTGGTTTGCAGTTTAAAATTTCTTTAGATATCAGGATATGTTTTTATTCAGTCTTCTTGCGGAGGTTGCCTGCAGTGACTGAAACACAACTTATGTGCACCGCGATCTGCTTTGATGCACAGGGATCATTTACAAATGCCCTCGATGCTGTAAATTTGCCTCAGAGACGAACTGCAGCCTGCGGTTAAAAACGCCAAGTTTGAATTCAAACGGAGACTTTGTCTCAGACAGCTCGTGTTTCAAGCAGAGGCCTAGATTTTGGCGAAAAACGCAACCAATAACGAATTCCTAAAAAAATCAGAATGGGAGAGTAATTGTCATGATATGCACACGTACATATAGAACAGTGGGGAAACTTCGCCGGGCTTGCGAAACTGATTCAAATGGATTGCATTTTTGTTTTGATTTTGCTTCAATGTTGCACGATTAAGTAGGAAAATTATTTTTATCCATGGGTTAGTAGGTTGGCATGGAGGATTCAAATAGATATCTCTTTTGACACGTACCAAAATTTCTACCGATGCCCTGTTGTCTTTTGCATTCAATATCACAGGTTAAACAGTAGTGAATATTTTGCAAGTTATGCTGAATATTCGAAAAGTCTCTTGGCAATGCTTTTCTTTGTCAACTGACTGTAACTTCTTTACTAAATTCCCAATTAAATGCTTATCAAATACATACGCCATGATTCTGCAAATTCGGTCCTTTCACCATTTCCATGACTTGACCTCAATAAACGTAGAGCGACGTTTCGGAAAATAAACGAAGGTGGCACAGTGCACGCTTTTGGATAAAGGACGATGCTTACCGTGGGATTAATCCTTTTCATTTCACTAGTCAAAGACTTTAATCAAGCGTCACCTATTGTATAATATATTGAACATATATAGAGGTAGTGCTCGCAGCACAATTATAACACTGTCTATTACACTGAGTAAATTTACCGTGCGATAATTCAGTCAAATGAGACCTAGATCTGCAAACTTTCAGACACTTTCTTTTATATAATTTATATGATTTCTTAAAGGATTAAGGCGAAATGTCGAGTTTGTTTGACTGGCGTAAGGAGGCACGATAGAAATGTCGACTTCCTTATCTTCCTTGTAGCTCTTTTTATTTAGTGAATTTCTGTCATTTGATAACTGCATACAAGGCCCCTAACCCCCTTGCTGACGGCTTGTTTGGAAAGCAATTTCCCATTTTGCAAGCACAACATAGGGTTTGCACGAACGGCTTTGTTCTTTTTGATATTGGATATTCTCATGAAAAGATGCTAATGTGAAATTGGTTTCTTTATGACTACGCATATGCGAAAAATATTGGACGCTAGCTAGATTGGTTCAAATATAAAAATGACTAGGAGGATTTGGCAGAAATCAAAGAAGTCTTCCTCCCCATATTATGCATAAAATCAGATAATCTACTGAGAGCAGTGAGAGGAAGTCGATTTGCAACTAGCCAGCTCTTTTTCAAAACCCTTTATTTTCCTTTTGCATTTTGGCAGCGGCAGCATTGTGCATCCTTGGCGGGGACGATTTTGTTAATGTCCATATCATAACTTATCAATAATACTGCAGAGCCCGTTTAAAAACGTGCTCCTGGATGAAACCCACTGAGATGATTTGTGAAGACGCGATTGGAACACTTTTCTGATCTGCGGGAACTACATAGCTATGAACGGAGAATGTGCAGTTCTTGTTCAACGGACAGATGTATTGACGGCATAGGTATAGCAGTCCATTAGATCCAGTCCTAGCGGACAATTTTATGCCCAATCGCGAACGAAGATTAGCTCAAAATTTGCAGCAAACCTCATGCTGTAGGCAATATGTGGGTGACATTTTCGCCATAGTTAAAAACCAAACGCACAGCGAAATACTACTTAAGGTCATGAACAAAGTACGTGCAAAGATCAGATTTACGGTCAAGCGCTAGAAAAAAAACACGTTGACCTTCCAAGATATTCTTGTCCGTAGGCGGGCAGATGATTCCATTTACAGATCCATCTATCGAGAGACCACCTAGAAAGGAGAGCACATGCACTTACTCAGCATCGTTCCAATTCAAAGAAAACGAAATTTGGCCTTGTGCCTATTTAGTAGAACCTCAAGAATCTGC